TCTTCCCCTTCTTAGATATGTTATCCCAGAGGTGCTACCACCGTCGCTGATTGGCTTGGCCTTGGCCAGTGGCAGGTCCTTCTTAGAGCTGGCTGGCACTGACTTTATCAGACATGGGGGAAGCTTCTCACAGCTTCTCACAGAAGACACCCCTATAGCCCCCCTGCTACCAAAACCTTGCCATGCAAACCCATAACACCTACCAACCGAAAAACTGCGAGGTTCTTAGTTATATTTAACGAAGACATACGATGTGAGAAGAACAGGAATCGTTTTACCTACTGGACCAGTCACCAGTATCCAAACTGTTAGTAAAAATCTTGTCTTATTCTATAGAGCTAAATCTAGGCCTTACTAAAAAGACATGAATTTGGGGCAGCATTTCACTAGGACACTTGCTGGTGAGAGTACCTCTTTGGTCAAGGAAAACTAACACATTTGTAATTAGTAAGACGATTTCAAGCATAAAATGCAGTGGATTACATACGTTGGTAAGAAGCATTTCTTTGTGCTACAAAGCAGAGGAGGGATAGACTTGAAAACTTTCACCATTACAAAGGCCTTCCCAGAAGGACAGATGTTACTAAATGTCGCTGGAGAAGTAGATCTAGGATCAAAGATACCACACTATCTTACCACTAGAATTGACAAAGAGCATGGTACTAGCACTGTAGGACGCTTTTGAGCTTGTACAAACAGCTTTATAGGAGTTATGGTGTTTGAAAAATTCTACTTGCTTACCATAATAGAAAAGCAGAAAACATCTTGTGTTTCCCATTAACTGAGACAAAACCAAACCCTACCAATGGAGAAACAAATTTTCCATCAATTCAGAATAAGGCAAGGTTCTGACTTCAAAATCTATATTAGTTCACCTAAACAAATAGAGAAACACCCTCATTCTGGACCTTTTTCGTTTTCTTACATTTCACCTATTAGGCTCCATTAAGGACCAGTCATTCAAATTTTAGATAGCTGTGAAACTAATTGGACTTCCTCCATTGACACTCCCTTTGGTATACCATAGCAGGTCACTAGAGGCTCACTCTTGCAACATTCATGGGCTGTGATATATCATTTGGCCTAAAACTTTGAGTGCTATTCTTCCTGTAGATTTCCACAGACTTTGGATGCAGACAAGGAAGCTCATTTATTTCAGGTAGATTTTAGTTAATTGGTTTTGGCACGTTCCTGGGCTTTTGTGTTTGCACTTACATTTTAGAAATTTTTGAAGTTTAGGAGTTTGACCCACCGGGAATTGCTGCTGGATTATTAGATGGTACATAGAAAGCTAGAGAAAGGGGAAGAAATAACCCATTTATAGGTATAAATGAGTGTCATCTGGCTAGAAATACAAGAGAATATTCTGTGACTAGAAAAATCACACAGGCTGTAACAGAGTAGGGCATGCCAAGTGCAGAACAGCTTCATCTGAGAACCCTTCTCTGGTTTAAGCTCTTCAAAAATTAATATTCTTAGAAAGAATATCCAAAAATCTGGCATGCAGGGAAGGGTTATTCCAAATCTAGGACCAGAGCCAGAGATTATTATAATATAAAAATACAACAGCAGCATTTTTTAAAATGGGCAAATTGTCTACATTCTTATATTCTTTTTTTTTTCCACAAATCTAGGGATCAAAATGAACATTGCACAATGCCACTAGCATTGGTACTGGGGAAGAAAGGCACCTACTGAAATTATAAGAGCTGTAAACAATTGTTACTCTCATTCAGGGCTGCATTCTCCTTGGTTGTTGCTGTTCACCTGAGAAACCCCATTTCACCTAAAGAATAGGGTAAATAGCAATGATTTTGGTGAATCTATAAAACCCAAGGTTTAATAAATCTATCAAATTCATGACTGGAGAATACCAGTAAGCCAACCAAGTATAGGCCTGTTAAAATAACTTCTGTTCTTTAGAAGGTTTTAGGAAAACAAATAATTTCCTCATTTTCCATTTGTCTCCAGAATTTCAGCATGCATGAATGGCTTATCAGAGATAGACCTCTTGGTCTAACACGCTTAGGCCTTTCTTTGCTAGGGTACCGTGAGTCTGGATGCTGATAATAGCAATTGCAGAGCAGGTAGGAATATGAAGAAGTAATCCCCTTGCCCACATTGTCGTAGTCTGCTCCAGCTGTCCTTACTACTGTCTCAACCACTGCCTGGGTAGCAACAGCAGCAACCATGCAGCTGATGCTTGGATATGAGGGAGTCTGAAATTGTCGAGTTATTTTTCCCAACCCCATAAGAGCCCTTAGTAGTCCTGTCCTTTGGTAAGCTAATGATTTTCTTTTAGATGAATAAAGCAAACTCCACTCAGCAGGCTTCTAGCAGAGCTTTGGACAGCAGAGGAATTTGAGGTACAGGAACTGAGAAGGCAGCTGCAGAGGCAACAACAACAAGTTGGGCTGAAATGCAAATAGGTAGGAGGACTCAATGAATCATCAGCACGCTGCAGACATTAAGCAAGAAAAATCGATGTTATTGAGCAAGTTATTCCTGGTAAAGGTGGGAAGAAATGCTGCTGTACAAGGCATATTCATGTTCAAATAGGAAGGGCACCAACAGAAGAAGGTCCGAAGACGGCCGTCCTTGTGCAGCTGCTTTGCCCAGGCACTGAGGGAAGCTGAGGTCTGAGAGCTCATGCCATTCTGGGGAAGCTGCATCTGGGAAGAATGATGAATTTGGTAATGGAGAGTTAGGACCTGGCTGATAAAAGCGGACAACTTTGTAACCATTCACTGTTCTTTTATTTTTACTATTTTGCACTGATGGAAAAACATACATATGCTAAACAGAGAGCAATCTGCAGTAAGCAATATTCATATCTTCTAAAGCGTGGAAGAAAGGAGTGTGAACTGTAAAGGATAGAAGCAGGGCAAAGATGACACAGTGTAGGGGCAGATGAAAAGCAAAAATTATACAAGTATTTTCTCTCATTCTTAACAATATTCCAAAATGAAAATAATTAATACTAGAATTTTTTTTAAAAGGCATAGTTTTAGGATAGGCTATGTTTCTGTTTTCTCATAATATCTATATTAGAAACTACACACTCCAAGCATTTCACTATATGATTATAATCCCAGTTTTCCTCTAAATTAGGGTACCAGAACAAAAGAATTTGGGAATTACATTTCTTCCTTTACCTAGCTGCAAATTTGGATGGTAATAAATACTATGTAAACAATAGTTAAGAAATGCAGTGATAGAAAACTCAAGTAATACAGTTTCCTGGTAGTATGTATCTCCTGAGCTTCCAGAATCTGTAGCTCAGAAGCAAAAGCTTCTGAAAAGTAATAAATGAGAAGGTGTCTTCTAAACAACTGCAATTTCAAACTCCAGCTGATGTCCAAACGTACATATTATCCTGTGTTGCCTTTGAGCCATGTTAATAAGAGGTGCTGATGCCTGTCTGAATTTTTGTTAAAACACCTACTCTTGACAGAACATTTACATCTTTCACAGCCCCTTTACCCTTCACTGTGTGATATCAACTAGTGCCACGTAACTCTCAGGACACACCATTAGCTCCACAGACCACACTTGCCTTCTAGTCCTAACTGCTGATAAACAACCGCAAGCAGACAATTGCCATCTACAGAGAGATCTACACAATATAGTACAGAGCTGAAGCACATCATATCTTTCAGGAGATGCTTTTCTCTTCAGGTTCACAAGGATCTGACCTGCCCTTTGCATAGGTGGATGATCTACTTGGATTTCTCCTTGCCTAACTGCAGATGGAGCACCTTCATGGCTCAGTGTTCGAACAATGAGCACATAAGGAGGTTTTGCAAATTCCCCAGGGCAGCTCCTGGCTCTGGACAGGTAGAATTAAGTTTGCTTTGGGTCATTCATTGTAATTCCTGGTTTGGGGAAGCCTGCATCCCAGTGAGCTCTCTATTCAGGAAAGCTACCAATTAGGCAAACTTAAAACTTACATGAATGAAGATTTTGTCCTTCGAAAATATATGAGGGAAAACTAGACAGAGCAAGAAGAGAAATAGATAAGCATGGAGGGGAACAGGAGACACTGAGAAGCCACTTAATGCACACTGATTGAAGTATGAGGAACAGAGAGCATACAGAAGTGTTTAGGAATGGAGAAGAATATAATCAACAGTATGCCTCTCCCCAAAATGCCTTTCATATTAAAAAACATGACTTAAAATCATTTGGAGAATAAATTCCCTCTCTAAATCACAAGTTTATTGAAGTGAAATATTTCTGAAATGAGAAGCTGTGTGTTTATTTGCTTGAGGTAATCCTATCCAAAGCAGCCAACATTGCAAATCCCCAGAACATCACAGACAAGGGAAATCAATGAGAAACTACTAATCAAAGTGACATTTTTTTTCCCACAAAAATGTTATCTCACTTGAGAAAATTCTCCTCCTTCTATCTTAAATTAAAAAATCACGTCAATCACAGTAAAAGCAAACAATGACATCTCATCTTTTATTTGAGTATTATTTTGACTGCTGTTGAAGTAACTGCCACATTCTTCTGCATATTGGAATTTGAAAGGTTAAAGTGCGCTTTGTAGGGTGGACAAGAAAGGAAATTTAGAAGAATATACAATCTTAGTATACAGTCCTTGCATTCACCTTATCTAGATTTTTATCTCAGTTGTGCAAGCTTTCTTACATTACCAATGAGTATCTGTAATGTAAGAAAATTTATTTTCATCCTTGCCACTCCTACAAGCACTGGTAGTATCTAATGACAAAAGATAAGCTGTGGGTCTTCAAAACCTGTATGAGATTTCCTATATCTCATTTGCAGATTGGACAGCATTGCTTTATTCAGCCATTTTAGAGTTAAAAAAACACGCTTGTTCTCTACTTCTATTTCCAACAATAAGGAGACAAAACACAAAACAAGAACCACTTGCAGCCTGCCTATCTTTAACAATCTG